GCAAATTTCCTAGTAGTTTTTGCCTTTTTTTCCTGCTTAATAGTCTCTTACTTCACTGGGAGCACTGGGAGAAAATGGCAGTGAATCCATATTTGCTAACATGAGTTGGCATCAGCATTTTTTCTTTTAAAATGAAGGCTTAAGATAATATTCAAGTGACTTAGGAGTTCATCTTTTCTGTAATAGAAATATTTTTAACTCACGTAGCTTTTCTTCAAAATAGGGAAATGGTTTTTGGGTCTTATCCCTGCATGTCACAGGCTCTGCCATTTATCATCTGTCAGACTAGAGTACATTAGGGTAAAGAAGAGTTAAGAAACAGAATACTGCTATCAACAGAATACTGTTACCAACAACCAATGAATAATGCTTATTCAGCCTCAGCCTTTTCCAGAGATGTCTCTGGGATGAAGGCTGTTGAAATGAGCTCCAGACTGGAAAACCTGTTGTGGGCTGAAGGCAGCCCACAGTCTACAAGCTCATCAGCCTGCTGTACATTAACTCTATTTTTATAGTGTGGTACATTAAAGGGAAACATACAAACTTAAAAGAAACACACATTGCATAAAACCTGCATTCATTAGTCAATCATCTGTATTTACACATTTCTTAAAACTAGAAATAGTACTAGTACTCTCATACATCCATTTTTTGTTAAGTATTGTCTGAATAGCCATTCCAGAACTAAAGGCTGTTCACAGGATCTGAGGTCTGGCTCTCCAAGAATTAAAATACTTGCAAGAATTTTAATTTTTAATTTGAGTCTGAATATAGAGATTGAAAAGGTAGCATCTGCAGGGAACCCAAGAAGGAGCAGGGAAAGGCTTCAGGGATACAGCCTGACAACAGGGACGCTGTGCAAATGCACAGGAAGGGCTGCAGTCCTTGTGGCTGACTTCAAGAACATCTGAGATTCAGGCTGCTTTGATCTATGTCCCATGCCCACTGTTCTCTTGATATTTGTCAAGACAGTAGAAACTCAAAAGCCAATTTTCATCTTCATTTCATGTTGGGATTGATTACACCCAGAAAAAGAAACAAAGGGATCTGAATAGATGGCTAACATACTTGTCTCTATCAGGAATATTGAGATCTAAGTAATTACTATTGGAGAAGATTTTTATTAGGTCTGTTAAGGGAATGGCCGTAGACATGCTGTTTGTGTGGGGGTTTTCAGACACCAGCTAGTGTGGAAGGTAGAAGTGGGTATATCTGGACAACAGTTACCCACAGAGGGAGCGCTTACCTGTGTGGGTGTCCCGAGCGATGGCTGGAAACCTAAAATCCTGTTTTCCTCTACTGTGTTTTTAATGCTTTTCATATGTCAGGTCCTTGATCGGTCTTCGACATGAGCTCCCAGGCATGATGGCAATCCAGATTAATTATTAACATTATTGTTATGCTTGTTTGATCTTTTAAATCCTTCACTGATTTCAGCCTGGGCTCTGATGCCACTCCTGTCTGTGCAGTACAGAGGCAATTACAGGCTCTATCAGGGACTCCAAGAGGCTTTCTTTTAAGCAAAACAGTGCCAATTGGAAATGTATTTTTTTTCTAGTCTAATGTGGCCTTAAAAAGAAAAAGAAGAAGAAAAAAGGAAAGAAAAGGCAAAAAATACAAGTAGAAATGTAAAACAGAGAAAATTTTAGGTTCAGAAATGTGGAATTTTTGCAGACCCCTACAGTTACTTTTATAAAAGTTGGATAGCATTTGTTGTTTTTTCTGGTTTTGGAAGTGGAATGTCTTAAAAATGAGGGCATTCAAGGCATTTTGCAAGGTAGAGAACGCTTGAAAGTCTATTCTCTTTTTGAGCAGGCCTGAAGTAATGCCTTAGTTATAGGGGAAGTGAAAGCTGGTGATGCTGGAATTTTTTTTGGTTTGCAAAGTTGTTGGCTCTCTTTTCTCGCTAATGTATTGCTTGTTTCTGCTTATGGCAGAGACAGTAATGGATGGAGAGAATCCCAGAAACCCCACTGAACTTTTGCACAATTGTACAACCTCATTCTGTTACCCTTCTGTGCAAATCTCAAAATGGTTGTGCATGGTGGGTGAGTTAACCAGCTTGAGGTAAGTTAACTCTGTGTGAGGGCTTGGGAGCTTCAGCCAAGGTCAGAAAAAAAAAGTTTTCCCCTTCTCAGTGCACAGGGATGTGTTACTCCCTGGCTACTAAGGCAGCTCCTTCAGTTTCATACACTAGCTCACATCATGTTCAAGTAATTGGAAACCAGTAACGTGGAAACTGGAAGTGCCAGCTCAGATCAGCTGAAGTGTGGGAGATTGTGTGTTATTCCTGGTGTGCTGTTAAATGTCAGCTTCTCTGGGTGCTTCCTAGTTACTATTGTAGTGCCTGCACGTGCTGGCACTGCTTTTTCAGTATGGGGCCCCTCATGCTGGAACCCTGTCCCTGTCTAAGTGGTGAGATCCCAGGCTGACGGGTGAATAGGGCACTGTGCCCAGCACCCCACCAACCCCACCACTTAGGAGACAACCTGACTGCTGGTATTACTGATGTTTTTGGACAGTTTGATCAACAGGAGTGAGTTTTGAGTGGTGACTGGAAAGGAGGGCATGCTGTTTGCTTGAGGGATTTCAGGAATAGATTTGTGCATCACTTAGCAGCACCAGTCCTAGCTTGATATGAAACAGTTTTGTACATAGCCAGGCTGGAAACATGACCTAACCTTTGTCCTTCCTCCTGTTAGCAAGCTAATGCTTCCAAGAGAAGTCCTGAAAAGACATAGGCATTGCTCTCCCCCTGCAGCGAAACAGCAGTTAGCTCTTAATGTGAATATCAGCTATTTATCACTCAGTCTGCCTTCCCTCTCCTTACCCCCTCCCCATTTTTTTTTTGTAAGTAGAAAGGTTGAAGTGTTTCTGAGTATGAGCAGTGTTTCTTGTCTGGTGTGCGCTAATGTGACTGGCAGGAACTGCTTTTCCATAACAAGCTTCTCTGGTGTATCCCTTCCCCACTCAGAAGCAGCTGTAAACAGCTGATGTTAATTATCGTCCACCTGCTGACTGTGCCAAACAGACATGCCATTACACTGTGACAAAAAAGGCTCCCGGTCTATTAAGTCCTCCCTCATACCTTTAGTAATGCTGATAAAATGCTGACCTGGTTTTTACCCCAGTGGCTGCTGTTGCTAAGCACTGAGAATATGACCCGTCTCCTGTAA